GGGAAAACACGTCCTGAGCTAAGCAGCGAATGCTGTGTACACCTGAGCCAATCCTGCAGTCGTGCGCAGCAAAGAGAATTTACGAGTGGAGCGCAAAGTTGCGATTTTCTCAGTGAACTTCTTTTCATACAGAGACATTTGTTCACTCTTTTCGGAGCTGCCGGAGCCTGCTTTCTGGCCTTAAAGAGCAGGAAGGATATAGTGACCAATTAGTCACGAGAACGAACACTGGCGGCGCGGCAGTCCGGGCGAAGTTATGTCATGGCAAGGACTCGCTTGCTCCGCAGTCGAGTATCGCCTGTTTTCTACACCCGCCGTGCGCCCGCCCTTACTCGATGCGACGTGTCTGACGTCGAACAGCAGGCAGGATATAGTGGCCGATAGACGACGTAACTGAAGATAGGCGTTTGGATCATATGCACTTTTTGCGACGGAGTGCTGTCACGTGTCACAGGGTGACATCACGTGAGTGTCGGCCCCCCATGACGACGGTAGATAGCGATCACGCTTTGTCACTCGCGCTGGAGGTCATACCGCTGGCTCACGTGGCCTTTTTTTTCTCCCGTGCCATCCCTATTTTGTTCTTGATGGATTCGAGAAACGTTTCTAGCAACCATTCGTACTGCAATACTGAGGGTTATCAATGATCACTTGGAAAAGAGGTTTATGACCCTTTTAAGGCCCGTATTTACAAACGCTCCTCGACTCAAACTCGACCTCAAGGGATCTTTGAGGCTTCCCGCGTTACAGAAATCGCAATGCGAAACAGTCGTCAAGGATCCCTTCAGCTCGAGTTTGAGTTGAGGAGTGTTTGTGAATACGGGCCTAAGAGTTCAGCTGTTTGGAGGACCACACCCTTGGCCTCTGGCGGCGTTTTCGGCGAGCTGAATGGCCCAGAGTTGGTCTTCCTAACTCTACCTGATCAGTACGACATCCCCTCGCCCAAACTTGCTCGCAGTGACGTAACCAGTGTGGCACACTGGGCCGGATCTTCCCCCTTCTCCCGAAAATTTCTCTCCGTGACATACAGAGCAAAATATGACTACGTCCGAGCGTCCTTTCTATGCTGTGTTCTTTTCCCAACTGAATCCACGCTTCTCTACGCAAGATGTCGAACCAACTAGCCAAACAACTTACCAAATTGGACCACTTCAAGGAGGGGCCCCCGCCCCCGAAAAAAATTCTGCCTAGGCCGATGCTCGTCATGAACTGTCATATGGGCCTGCCGAGTCACCTGTGGGTAAGCCGGAAGGATGTGTGTCAGATCCGCCCATTCCCTGCAAAGCTCACATTTGCCTTCATATTTGTCGGGTAATAGAGTGCCAACCATCATATTCGTATAATCAAGAAACGAATGAAATTGTGATGAATAATTAATGTAGCCAGAGCGTGAATTGGCTTATAGCAGGATAAAGACCCCATGCTTTCATCAACAGAATGCTGCTTGTATCACCACCATCGTTGCACAGAAAATATTTTAGTGAAACTCCAGGAGCTTGCAAATTTATAAAATCTTTGTTAACAACTTTGTGTGACTTACTTTGACCTGCCTCGTGAATGTGGCTTCGCCTTTTGCGCAGGCAAAAATTAAGGTGCATTGCGGTGTTTGATTTCAGAAAATTCAGCTCACCTTCTACTCTACAAACACTACAAACACAACACGAACATTGTGAGACTCTTGAAAACCGTATATGCCTCGCAGTACCGCGTCTGCCTGGTTTGCCTCAACGATGCAACTCGTCATGCTCTGAAAACCTTGCGGCATATTAAGGCACGTAACAATGGCTGCAAGGACGTGAAAAATACGGCCCGCACGAATTCACGCTTGCACCAAAGTTTTTTTTTTTTTCGAGGGGCATTCTGGAAAAAGTCCTGGCATGACAGAACGATAAACATCTTGAGAGAGAGAGAGAGAGAGAGAGGGCTGAAGGTTAGGGTTGCCTTTGGTTTTTACTTTACACCAAATTGGCTACTTTTCGACGCCATGACTTTTCGACCCCGCATGGCGACAAAAAATTCAGGTTGGCTCCATGGCTACTTTATAGTTACGTATAGGTTCAGTTCCGCCAAAGGTCAACTAAGCCACCTCTCAAAATACGTACAAGTAGCGCGTTATTCGATCCAGGCGTTTTTCGTCTTTGTGGCACAATAAGTGATGCCAGCACTTCATACATATGACGTCAGGATGAATTAAGCACTCAATTGGTCAGCGTACTACAGAGATAAATATTGTAAACTGTCTACTAATTGTTTTTTTTTTCACGCATTCGCATTTCCGTTCTGCTTTCTCACCCATGACTATCATGCGCGGTAAACTCATTTCACTTCGCTTTATGCATGCGCGACCGCGCAAACGGAAGTAGCGGCGTTTAGTAAAAAGTGAGCGCAAAATCTTGCCTGGCTCCGCGCTTGGTGGAGACATTTCCCATGTGTTCCTTTAAGGAATAAGTGGCAACTAAGATATACCGTTTGTATGAAGCACAGTGAATGCGAGAAAGAAACTACTGTCTCGTATTTGAACTCCGCGTGGTTCATAGACACTGCAAGGCCTAAATAACCCCTGGGAGGTATTACATAATGGATGGTTACACCAAAAACAATTATAAAAGTGTTCTTTATAAAATAAATTTTGTTGTTATTATAAAGTGCTGTTATTACACCTCTGTAATCTTTATCACATATCTGTCAAACATTGTAGAAAGAGAAATGGGCAGGTAGGTGCAATTATTTACTAAGGAAGGGTTTTCCAGTTTGAGACAGTTTGAAAAAGATGAATGAAGATGAAAAAAAAGTATTGGGTCACTCACGTGGACGCGTAACTTGGTGTAAGTGACCCAGGCGGCTAAATGTGCGTGCTGTGGGTGAAATGTAAGTTTGTTCATGCAGATAGCTAAAAAGAAATTTGTGGTATTGACAGGCTGGAGAGGCGGTGACGATGGGTCAGAGGTGAGACACGGCATCGCGATTTCAGTGACGTGGCACTGATGTCATATGCATTCGCAGAATGAATAAATCTCGTCCCCTGGTTTTGAGCCGCCTGTAATGCATCGGAGAGATATGCCTGATGTGGATTTCAGACACAAGACGCCTATATTTGTGTTCTGGCCGAACGAGTGGCTGATAAACGATTAGTTTCACGTGTTGTGAAGTGTGGCGGAGGTTACATTTTAAGAAGCCTAATGTTTTGTTAGAAGAATGCTTTTTTTATAAACCAAATGTTTTGTTTACGACACATATAATCGTACATGTGCCGCCCCGCCACGGTGGTCTAGTGGCTAAGGTACACGGCTGCTGACCCGCAGGTCGTGGGATCAAATCCCGGCTGTGGCGGCTGCATTCCCGATGGAGGCGGAGATGTTGTAGGCCCATGTACTCAGATTTGGGTGCACGTTAAAGAACCCCGGGTGGTCAAAATTTCTGGAGCCCTCCACTACGGCGTCTCTCATAATCATATGGAGGTTTTGGGACGTTAAACCCCACAAATCAATCAATCAATCGCACATGTGCCTTCAATGTGCATGGTTGCAAGAACATGAAGCTCCTGATACGATGGCTTCAGACACGAATGCTGCTGCTACTATCTTCGCATTCATTGACGACCATACATCTGCTCCAAGTCAGGAAATGCAAGGACAGGCCTGCTAGCGTTTAGGCTTTGTTTACCTTGTTCATGCTTGTAACATTAAAAAAAAAGTGCGAAATCTTGACTGTATACAAAGCAAAGAAGAGAAAACAACAGCGCTGTTCATTCTACGTCTTCCGTCCTGTCAGAATATCGCACTGTTTTTTTTTCCTCTTGCGAGCATGGGCAGCTGTAGCATTTGACTGCCTATAACTCCACTCGTACAAGGCACGCTCGAAAACTTCTCGCTGATGAATATTTGGTATGAGATTTACACTAACTGTCAACATTTCATGATGTCTTTCACCACAGCAATGACGCAGTGGTCCCAGTGCCCAGCTGCTGACGCGAAAAACTCGAATTTGTTTCAGGCGCCGAAGGTCGCATTTCGATAAAACGCGCAACGCTAGAGACATACGTACTCCTTGATTTTTATGCTAGTTAGCAAACACAAGGTGGTAAAACTTTTCCGGAGCCCTCTACCGCGTAATACCCCAAACGTTATTAAAGACAATAGTCTTTCTTGGGAACCTTCGGCGCAAAAATTTTGGTCTCTGTATGTCTGTTTGTCTGTATGCCTGTCTGTCTGTCTGCACATTTGTCTGTTTTTCCACTCTTAATGGCACTGGGTACTTGAAACGGCTGACCCCATCCGCAGCGCCCATCAATGTTGCTTAAGCTTTAGCGTAAATACTTGTGCTATTGTCAATTAAAAAGCAATTATTGCACATGTCTGGGGTACCATAACAACACGTATATATTCTGCATGTGCGTCTTTTACTAGTAAAGGCATACATAAGTAATTTCAAGGGCCGTAGCACTTATCACGCTGCGCTGACCATGCAACGCTTGCCCGAAAAGGCGTTTCCAACGCTTTGCTAAGACGACACGGTGGTGGCACCTACCCGTCGCCTTGCGTTCTACAACTTATCACCTCTGAGACGGGCGCCCACACCCGTCTCAGAGCCGCGCGCTTCGTTTTCCTAGAAAACTGCCAGATGGCGCTCATGTCTTACGTGTGACGTAACTTGATGCGCTCGTTCGCCTCCGCTGCACGCTCGAGAAACTTTAACGCAGCGCCTCTTGGATATTATTCACTGATTTTCTTGCGCAGAACATCCAATAAATGTTTTGTTAACTCTCTCCACACACAAGACTATAGTCTTTCGACGACATTTGCAGATTAGCATGCAGATACAGGGCCAATTTTTATTAGCAAACATTTTATGTAATGTTTCAACTAAACCTTTATTCATCCCTTCTTCTCCCCACGCACTTATTTCAGTGTCGACATTCTTCGAGTACTGCGCTAGACGAAAATGCATACACAGTCAAGTACAGCGTCAGTATTATCCTTTGTCCTCTTTTCTTCCCACAGCCATTCTGCGTATAGGATCCGTGTTGTCCGGCGTGCTGCTCATCGCGTGTGTGGCCACTTTCTACAGCAAGTACGTTGTTCGCGGCCGTGGCAATGATGACGAAACCACGGACGGGTCCGCTACCTACGAGACCACCACGACCTCGACCCCGCTACAGGACTGCGACGAAGAAGACACCGACAGCGGATACGTGCTCAAGTTCGCCGCCTGGCTGCTCATAACGGTGGCTCGTGTCGTGGCCGGAAGTTCCCTTCTGGCGGCCTGCTTTGGGCCGGCCGTCCTGGCATGGGCGCTGGTTCATGTTCCCGTAGTCCTGCTGTGGTCGTTGGTGTGTCGCACGCACTACAGCACGGCCAAATTCTTCGGTGACCTAGCACTGGGACTCATCACGCTCGTGTTTGTGCTCGACTACAGAGCCCTAAACCGCGAAGGGTTGGCCAGCACCATGTCCGCTGTGGTCTTCCTTTGTGCTACATTCTTAGAGAATACCGTGTGCTTGGCTCTGGCGTACACGGTGGTTGGCGGTGGGCCACCCCACTACACCGTGCTTCTGGTTCTTGTCGGCGTGCACTACGCGGCCATGACTTGCGGCGTATTCATGCTGCTGTGTCACATCCGCATGCGCCACCGCAAGGTCGAGTACGTTTTCTGACTAGAAGAACTCAGCACTGGTCTAGTGGGAAAGAAACGTGCCCGTGTGTGTAGGCTCAGGGCAAGATGACACAAACTGATGTACCTGTTGTTTTCCTTTTTTCAAGCTCAGACGCAAATGCTCGCGCCCTTATTTATTTTCATACGCTTTTGTGGCTATCTCACACATCCACTGGCCTTGACTGCTCATCACGATCTAGTTTTGTTTTTTTGTTCATTTTCTGTTTTTTTAGTCCATGCTTAACAACCTATACAGTTTTTTTTTTCATTGCTTTCCCTGGAAAGCAGAGCTCCAGTACGCGTAGATTGAGTAAGTTGTCTGCACGTTGGCACTGATAATCTTTTGTTGAAGATGCAGGTTGTACAACTGGCGATAAGCCAAAGCAGCGGGCACCCCACTACGCCAGTTGTTTCACTGAGTTACTCTTTTCTCTGTTGCGCTAGATACTGCAGAATATTTCTCCCGTGTTCACACCGCTTATAGCACCTAACCGAGCAACACTGGAATTAAGCAAGCGTGCGAGTTAGCATGCCGTACAGTATTTTCCACGCATCATGAGTCTAAACATGATGCCCTACATCGACCAGCTGTAAATGGTATCCAGCAGCCAGAAGAGGCAAAACACAATGCAATTTTATCACTCTTTTTTGTAGTTATTGTTCATGCTGAAAGTTTTGGGACCAATGTACATAACTGTGGTTCTTGTGCGTTTCCCGCCACAAGTTTCGTCCTCGCTTCCAACAGTGAATAGTGTATACTGGGAGTTTCAAGTTGCAAAATTGCAAGCTTATAGGGAATTGAAAGTCTGCATACGTCGTTCACGGCGTCGGAGGACAGCGAAGACATTGCCTTTCCGAATTTTCCTTCTAAACGTCGCGTTTAGATTATGTAAATGGACATCATTGTGAATAACAGTTCATTTTTTGTGATATAAAAGAGTTAAAGTGATGTGACATGACAGCGTCTGAAATGCGTTCTTGGCCCTGAGAAAGCCGAAGAAGCAAAGGAAGTTGGCCCGCATCTGCTACTCTGTAGGCCTCTTGTTGCCGCTGGCCCTTCGAAAGACAACAGTGTGTGAGTGTGTTGCATACAGGGAATTTGAAGAAACGTGTCCGAAAATCTTTTTAAAAAAACGGGAAAAGTAGAATATTTGTGTGCTGCCTTCCAAGTTGCTATTTATGCAACAGCAGATATTTTAAGACGACTAGTGGAATTATTTGGGGCAGTAAATAAATGAATTATTTTTAATCAGTCCTGACAGGCGGTCGGATCAAATGGAGAGAATATTCGTCAATACAAATAAATAAATTCTAATGTCTTATATGACACAACCACGATAATATTATAAGGAACGCCACTCGATTGCCATAGAATAATTTTGACTACCTGGGTTTTCACATGCATTAAACACACGGACGTTCTTTCATTGCAACTTCATTTCGCCCAAATCGAAAGGCTGTTGCGGTGACACCGAAATTTAGCCTGCGTCCGAGTGCTTAGCAATGTGTCAATACAGACAAGAAAGACTAAACATTTTTTTGTATATTCTGATGTTTATAAAACACGGGCTTGCTGTTTCAGCTTTGCAGTGTGGCATATGCCTTTGTGTAGCAAAATAAAGAGTCTCGTAGGTCTATAAAAAGGTGGACTCACTTTTATTGATAAGCGCCACAGCTATCAGATTGTACCCTATGAGTAAAACATTGACCTTACTGAAAGTAAGTCACAGGGTACACAATACGTGGTGAGAAAACAGAGTTTGCAAGCAATGGTTATTTTTTTTGTTTGTTTGTTTTTGCGCATGTGTTTTGTGCCTTTTAGAAAATGTTTAGAAGTTACCTACTTCCCGTGCCACTGCCCTATTAACTTGTCTGGCCGAAAATTCCAACACAGCCAATTGCACTTTTGTCGTGGTCATCATCATAAAATGAACAGAGACGCCAATTTCGTCGGTAATTAAAGATATTGAATTAATTTACTTTTAATTTGTTGACGCAAGCGGTCTCATCAAAAAAGAGAATTGGAGCCCTCTCAGCGAAGAGCTAGTTGTCGTTTTGAGAATTCCAAAAAGTAGCTGCTGATAACTGAAACAAAGTGATGAAATGCGATTCATTTCGCAGGCGAAACTGAAACACAGAGTAGCGCAACTGCCCTGTTTTTCCGAGACGTCCAAAATGAGTGAGCGACGTTATATAAACCATCGATCTACTTCGCTTCGTGAGTGCGTGGGCTGAGCTAGGAATTACAGCCCGCATGTCACACGTACGTCAATGAATGTAGGAAAACTAGCTCCACTGCAATCATGTTCGTGATGATTGACGCCAGTCTGCACGTCTGCTAGATGCACTCATTAGTGCTTGTATTTTGGCTTCGCACGTTAATTTGGTTGAACTTCATTAATCTACAATAATTACAAGAGACCCCTTTTTCGAAATCTCAAACAGGGGAAGCGCTTTCCGCAAAAAAAAAAAACTACTTCAATTCCCCCATTGGACTCGACCACCTGTCTCTCTCAGCTCAAAAATCCACGCATCTTCGTGAAGTGAATCATGGCGAGTGGGCGAAGCTATGGGTATTGTATCGCTAAGTAACCGTACGCAACCCAAGCCTTTCTTCGTGTAATGTAAATTAAGTGACAAAGTAAATATAGCAATGTAAAGTCATTTTACTTTCCAGTCGTCTAATGCAATGCAAGGAGTATTTCGAAAATTGCTGGAGTGAAGAATATGCCTCGAAAGCGAATCAAAGCACCCGCCATCTCGCTGGTGGCAAGATGCCATCTTATATGGATAATTTGTTGCGACGCGTGCCTTTGTTTTACAGTTTTAGTTAAGAAGCCTGAACATCGAGGTACAATATGAGAGATCAACTCATCAATACTTTTTTCGATTGGTTATTTTCGCCGGAACAACGATCTCTATCATTAGCCTGTGTGTGTGTGTGTGTGTGTGTGTGTGTGCGTGTGCGTGTGCGTGTGCGTGTGCGTGTGCGTGTGCGTGTGCGTGTGCGTGTGCGTGTGTGTGTGTGTGCGTGTGCGTGTGTGTGTGTGTATGTGTGTGTGCACGCACGCACGCCGCGTATGTTTCGACTATAGCAACGGTTCTATACTGTGACCACAACGGACGACAAGGTTATGTCTTAAAGAGCTTCACCCCTTAATTTAGAAAACTTAAATTTTTCAATTGATGTCATTACTGGTGTCTCTAGTCAACTCACTATGCCGGCCGCTGCAGAAGAAGTGATGACGAAGCACCAAGTGAATATTGCATTTCCGAAACGTTTTAGCATATCATGCACATTTTTGAAACGCCCCGTGATTTTGTTGTGTCCCCGCATACAAAGAAAGTGGCTTGTACTCACTGCAGCTGGAAGCATTCGTCAAAAAAGTACAGAGATGAGGGTAAGTCTTTGGTGATTCTGGCTACCTCTCGATGAATTCTCTGCTCTCTCTGACTGGAAATCACGCGCTGTTTGGTCGTAAATCGAAAGGAATATCAATCATTCTTAAGATTTATGCATATTCGTCATGGTTACATTTATAGCTAAGGGAAGTAGCATCCCCGTAGTTTTGGCTCATGGCCACATAGTATAGAATATACTCTTTTAGGTGGGGACACTTCTCGGCTTTCATGCAAAGCGTGATCGATCCGATAAAGTAACAACGACGCGCATCCGTTGATCCGCTGGTGGCAACGCGTATTTATCGGTGGGTAGATGTAATTCAAAGACAAAATACTTTCTACATCGTTACACTGGGGTCAGTGGCAAAGCCAGCGTCCACCGCCTGTATTGTTTGTCACCCGCGAAAGGCAGTGCTATGAGTTTCCTACTTTAGTTCCTGACGTGTCACCGCCGCGCTCGCTATAAATTCAGATTTCTCGTGAAGCGCCAGTTGCTGCGAGAATGTATTTTTGTGGTGAAGTTTAGCCGCTGCCGTCAGTGGTCCGACGGGCACTCGGCGTTCTTACTTTACCTGATTGATCGCGTCTCGTGAGAGTGTCTTCGCCTAAAGAGTATACAGGTTATCCCACGTAAATTTAGCTAGAGTTTAAAAATACGCCGGAGCACATAATTACGCCGTGACCAAATGCATGTTGCTCACCGCTGCCTGGAGTTAGTCAGACTATTTTTTGTGTTCTCAAATATTGTTTAATTAGATCTGTCAGTCAGTCAGTCAAGAACTTTAATATATGGTCCTGAGGAGTTTAAGCCACCAGGGTGCCCACGTGGGACATCCTAGCAGCCGCTACCGTAGGCGACGCCCGAGTCGGGGCTGGAACGTGGTGGCGTTCCGCCAGTTCTTGGGCCCTCTGGACTGCCTTAAGTTGGTTTCGGAGATTGGGGCTCCTGAGTGCCTCCTCCCAGTCGGACTCACTGGTGAGAGGTCCCTGAGGTAACGCGGGACATTGCCAGAGCATGTGCGCGAGTGAACAGTACACTTCTGTGCAATCTGGGCACTGTGAATTTATGTCTGAGTTATAATGGCTGAGTCGGCCCCGTGATGGGTACGATCTCGTTTGTAACATTCTAAAGGCTACTTCTTGCGCGCGTTCGAGTTTGAATGGGGTAAAGGGTATCGGCTTCTGTTGTGTCGGTAGTGGGAGGTAATTTCATGGAAGGTGAGTAGTGGGTCATTAAACTGCACGTCTGGGCCCAGCTCTTCGGTGGCTGATTGATCGTCACGGCGGGTCAGTTCTCGTGCTCGATCATGAGCCATTTCGTTGAGGTTGGGTTGTTGTGGGTGAACGTCTTTGCCCATGTGGGCAGGGAACCAAGAGAGGTAGTGCGAGCCCGTATATTTCCGTGTTTGTAAAATGCGGGCTGCTTCTGGAGCGATGTTGCCGGTTTCGTAAGCCCGAATGGCGGCGCGAGAGTCTGTGAAGACATTAGTGAGTGAGGGGTCGGTCATCGCTAAAGCTATAGCAACTTGTTCGGCTATGGCGCTTGTTGATAGCCTAACCGAGGCGGCTGAGCGTAGGGCTCCGTCGCCATCTACTACCGCGAGTGCGAAAGAGGAGGAGTTACCGTATTGCGCTGCGTCGACGAATGCGGTAGAGTTGCGATTCGCGGCGGTA